ATTGAAAATGTACTGGACAATTGGTGTTGTTACTTGCTACCTCAAACTCATTTTTGAGTGCTACCTCAAACTCATTTTTGGTTTTTACAGAAAAAAAATTGAATTATATTGTTCCCATCACCATCTGCTCAAAATGATTTTTTTTTAACTGTAATGGTATGTTTGCATCTGGGGAAGGTTTTTTGTGTAGTTTGCAACAAATGAGAAGCTTCTTCATCCTCAGAGGGGGCTGAAAAGAGCCTTTGTTCATGCTCTGAACACCTGGGAGTGGGAGTTATCTCAGGCTAGCTCGTGCTCTCAGGCCATCACACTACAGCTGTGTTGGAGTCAGATCGCTCAATAGTGTCTGGGCTATAGGGTAAAACAGTGCAAATATGATCACACTGGCCTCAAAAAACTGCATTTCATCTCTCAGTGTTGTCATTGTCACAAAAAGCAAAGCATCTTCTCAAAAGTTATTTTCCCATTATTACACTGTTGAAGAGATTCATACATCGCAGGACAAAGGAAAGAATGACAACATTTTAATTTTGTGGGCTGCTCTTGATTCCACTGTTTACAACTATGTGTTAATTAATCCATCCGTCCCCTTACTAACTGCTTTATCCAATACAGGGCCGTGGGGAAGCCAGAGCAACCAATAGGAGAAAGTCAGGATATACCCTTGATGGAATGCCATTCCATTGTAGGACACGCACAAACACAAAGAGGAACACTCACACCAGGCCTAATTTTCCCAGAAGTCAGTTAAATGGGAACTGCAACTCCATTTTTATATTTCGGGATTAGAAAGAATCAGCATTGATGAGTGCATTTCAAACTACAGTAAAAGTAAAATGTATACAAAAACTTGTAAAACCTCCAATTATCATGACAAAATAGACAAGATTTCCAGGTACAGTATGCGCAGCACCATATTCTGTGATTCAGAATGAGGCAACAAAACTTGTGGTGATGTGAAGCAGTCCTATTACATTGTAAACAAACAGGCTTGTGAATACATCTCTTTTAATCCAATTGAATTATTGCTTTCGACTTCAAGATGGTTTTGCGGATAAATGGAACTTACTTGTTAACTCTGCATGCAAATCACGTTGGAAACTTTCTGTGGTGAAATATGTGCTGCACAACCTATATTTAATTCACTTGTACATCACATTACATTGGTTATTACAGTGACTAGCAAGTGGGAAGGGCTGCATCATGTCACAATTCATTGGAACTCTCGCTCTCACCGGTGGCGAGACCAGGGGTTTGCGACAACAAGGCGACTTACAGTACTTTCACAAAGTTCACTGTTTTGTGCTTAATTAGAAATTTGTATTTTTTACTATATAATCATTGAATTTATTTATTTTTATTTATTTAATAGCCGAGAAATTGGGACTGCAGTTTCCCCTTCAACCTACCAGGATGTCATACAAACTCCACTCAGTTAACAAACCAGATCCTGGATTGATCCTAGGGCCCCAGCACTGCAAGGTAGCTCACCACAATGCTTCCATTGCCACTTGTATTAATTAATGCACTTTACAAATGTTAAAACAGCATTAATGATGAGAGAAGCATTGGGTAATGTATGCAGAAATTGATTCAATTAGCAGAAAGACTGTCAGAGTGCCAGAGTCTCAGAGTATTACAGAATAAACAGAGCTTAATCCAATGCCAAAAGGTAAAAGGAAAAGAACAAATTTGTTTTGACTCTGAACCCTTCTTCAGGTGTGTGAGATTTTCTTCAGTATTTTAAACTTACAAATGTTGGTTATTTCAATAATTATAATGATAATGATGATGATAATGATGATGATTTTATTAATTCATTACCCTATTCACTCTATTAATTGTCATATAGATATTGAGATTCTGAAAACATATTCTCCAGTCCTAGAATCTTTCAGCTTCTTGACCTTTTGTTTACATTTCTTAAGGGATTTTACTTGGAGGAAGCAATAAACTGAAATTTTAGAATCTTGTAAAATTTTAACTACAGAATTAATTATACAGATGTATGACCATGCACAATAACATCTTTACACTTCCCTCAAAGTACTTTACAGGTAATGGGAACTCCCCTCCTCCACCACTAATGTGAAACACCCACCTGAGGATTAATACGCTGAACAATAGCCAATAAGTCATTCATGCACAGAAGTTGTAATAATTTTTTTCCATTCATCCATTTTCTAAACCAATTTAACTAATACATGGTTTTAGTGGGAACTGGAGCCTATAGTAGCAAGCACGGGCACTAGGCAGGATACATGGGCAGCTAGTACATCACAAGGCAAACACACACTCACACAGAAACAATTTTCCAGAATCCAATTAACCTACCAGCATGTCTTTGGACTATGAGAGAAAACTGGAGCAACCAGAGGAAACCCATGTGAATATGTAGACATGCAAACTCCACACAGACAGCACCCTGGGAATTGAACCCAGGGCCCCAGTGCTGTGAGGCAGCAATGGTAACCACTGTGCTTCCCACACATTTTTTCTGTTTAGTTCACATTTCTGCTTAAATTAAATGTCTCTTAAAAAACATTCAGTTGTTAATGAATCCATATCGTCATATGGAGTATCATCTGCAACTGTATATCAATTGTCCTTCACCTTAGTTTTACTTAAAATAAGATTACTAGGTAGATTATGTAATTATAACATAAAGAACTTAAAAAACTAAGAAATTTAAGGTGTATTCAAATTAGCTTCTGATCTTATACTTCTTCAAATACATACTATTACCAACAGTAATGTTACCAACAAAAACCTGAAAAGGTGCTTAAAACGTTTCTTATGCTTATCATATAAGCATCATATATCACCACAGAAACCAAAATACAATATTAATGCTTACAAATGTCAAAGTAATATTAAAGTGGGACTTCTAAGATAAAATACTTCAGAAAATAATGATCATGGTGATGATGATGTTGTTTTACAAATGACAAAATATTACATTCTTGTCACAATCGCATGTTTGTCTGCGAAACAAAAGCAAAACTTATTACTACTATTAGTATGCTGTATTTCATTACTTTAGTAATTTCGTTGTATTGAGACAGAGTGGGACCAGGTGCATTATTCTTCATTAATGAAAGGTGCGGAACAGCAATCAACTAGTGCCCGCAGACTTGCCTGACAGATAAACACCTCGCCACAACTTTCCCACCGCCTGATTCTCCCAACAAGGAAGAAAATGAAAAGCTCTCATTTGAACTGGGTTGAAATGTATTATTATGTACAGGTGGAAGCTATTGCGATCATAATTCTTAAAAAAAGATAAAATGGTTTGTGAAACAGGGTAGGTAAGTAAGACATTTAATTTTGACAAATCTCTAGAGATCTTCGATAAAGAAATTTTCAGAAACTCATTACGTAAACACGGAAAGAGACCCTTACTAATATTGAGATAGGTTCGTGTAAACATAGCATTTAATTTTTTTAAATTAAAACCAATAACAACAAAAATTAGCCATTGTATTTGTATGTTGAATTTTGTTTAAAAATCGTAATTATTGAAAGTTTTAAGGTATTTATAAGACAGGATAATTATTTTTTTAATTCTTATATCTCAGTTAATCTCATATCGATCTATGCTATTAGTAGCGTATAATGTTAGGTCAGTGTATTTGATTGCATTGTAGATATTTTTTCACGGAAATATTACCGTGTTCAGCTATTATTTAATGACTCTATTAATTATTTAATGGTTATAGCTAATTTAAATGATCCTTAGTTTAAGAGTTAAATCATCCTAATTCTAATCATTCTAATTCTTTCATTCTTTATTTGTTCCGGTCTTCTAGACTACTTTATCCATTATCCCCTTTCCCCTTCTGCCTCTCCCTCGCAGCCCACTTCCTCGACTCTCTCGCTCACTCTTAGTCGCTATCTCATTATTAAGTGTTAGGAGGTTGCTGAAGTGAGAAATATGCCTGCGAAAGCTCGTTGTCCTCATTAAACTTTGACAAGAAGAGTGACAAGAAGCAATGGAGAGGAAACAATGCCAACAGTGTTTGAGTATGAGCCCAGAGATGGGAAAGTCTTTGTCCATCTGAACAAAAGCATTTGTTTGCATATGTTAAACTCTATTAAACTCTGTCAGACCCAGGTGCAAAAACCAACTTGTCGAAAAACATCACAACTCCTCGCACCTTTCCGTGCCTGATGAACGGTCCCCAGTCATTCCTAATCAGTTCATAACCCTCAACAAGGAACAGATCAAAGGTGGTCTATTTCAATATAAATATTATACTTCAATGAAATTCACAGTTACTACTTTTATTACATGACTGTAATTCCAGTTAATTAGAAACAGCCTTATTTTTTTTAACACGGCGGTGTGCTAGAATGTTATTGGTGTTAAAATGTTCCATAGAACTCCAATTTCTATTTCTTAGCGGTAGGAATACTGTAGGGATAGGCTATGGTCCAAGATAGGAGTTTACATTTCCCAGTTTTGTTTTTAAACACAGATATTGTATACGTATAGACGTATAGACACGTATTTGCGACTACACAGGCGTATTAAGTAAATGCATATGAAAGAAAATCCTGCCCTTTTTTCCATTTTAAGCTCGAATATGTTAAGGGTTTGTAAGCACGAGAATGTAAAGATAATTGGTAACTGGCCTACAGCAGAAGGTTTAGAGGGATAGAGTACAGCGCTGAAACCATGGACAGATACACAATTTGATTTACTTCTCCCAGCCTCGTAACTGTATTGGACTAATAAGCAAGCACTACTAGTATACTTTTAAAAAGTTACATCGCATGATATGGCTGTAATCTTGTTTCTGCAAATGAATGTACAATTGCTTGTCAAGTACAGATGTTCTATGCGATTAGTTTTTCTTCTCATCTGGGGATTCCATCATATTTCCTACAGTATCAATTAAAAAAGTGTGATAACGTTTCATGTTACATTTGACATTATATGTGACATTTATTGTGAGCTAAGGCTTACTGTACTTGACCAGGAATCTATTAAATTTCCCATTTCCTGGAATTAGGCAAGATTAGTCTGCAAATCATTCATAGCTTCATTACATTTATAATGGATTGTTTATACTCTTTCGAAGTAGGTCTATAAAAGGTGGCAAGAATGAACTTATACAGCACATTTTCCGTCTTGGTTTATTTGTTTTGTTTGTTGTGTTTTAACCCTTAAAGTGTTAAAAGCATAACTTACCAGTCACGGCTCTACAAATACCTTTTTAAAAAACGTCAGACTTCGGAGTCTTAAATATTATATCCAAGATGTATGAATGAACAACACTCTGAAGGTTATGCTATAGGGGCGGAGTTTTCATGTTCTCAGCAGTTTTCCACTAAGATGGGAGGATCTAAGGTTTCTTATAAAGCTCGCTGGTTGTATTACAAACATCCAGACAACAGCGCGGTGACCCGGAGCAAGCAGATTCATTGCCATCCAGCAACCTTTCAGTCATGGCAGCGAACGGGACAGTAGAGAATGGACAACCAGAGAGAAAAAATCCTTCACTTCCCCATCCTATTAAAAATCTAGAAGTGAGATACTCTAAGGTAGGGTGTGTCATATGTTGCCTGTGAACCATCATTTACTTTGACTATTATAAAGAAGAGAAAAAAACGAAATCTTAATTTATGTAATAGGCTACATAATATCAATTATTTTTGGTCATGAAAATATTTTAGTAATTGGTGATCTTAAAGCAATCATTTTATAACTTTGAAAGCGATGTAATCTACTATTTAAACTCAGCTATTGGTCGAGTGTTTTTTTATTCAGGTATCTCATTTCTAGTAGACTTAATCGTGCATAAATCATGTCAACTCATCTCCAGGTACAGTATGGTCAGTATCTTAAAGGTTCTTAAATCACCGTATTTTTAATTATTTCCGATGATTGTACCTTAAAATGTCAAAAAGGTTTATATTCTTGCTAATGTCACATTTCTGAAAATATACAATACACCGCTTAACGTGAAAAATCTAATGCCAGCTTGTCCAAGGCTGGTAATGTAAGTATCAAAATAAGCAAATCAGTTGTCTGGCTTCTTGAACGCAGCCGTTTGCAGTATCTGTTTTTGAATTGTTTCTGGAGTATCGGCTATTAATGTTCAGGGGTTTTTTTTTGGTTTGGAGTCCGACTTGCTCCGGTCTCCTTCCATGAGCCAAACACAAGCTAACTCGTTTGGTGTCGATTAATTGCCCCGTGTTCGCGCCAGGCAATGGACAAGGGTCCTTTCCTGGTCATCGTTGCTCCCAGTTCCTACAGTACCTGGTCAGACTCCGGTTTACCTCGACCCTCCAGGATTCTAGGATTGCTAATTCCTGCTATGTACCGGTTTGCTTTTAACAACTACACATTGTATACTGCGACATGTAATGTTCGGCGACGTTATACTAAATCATGATTAATTCACACGTCTCCATTGTTGGCATGTATTGATTTACATGCAGAAGTCATGCTACAATACTCAAACCTGACAAAGATAACTTCATATTTTATTAAATAACCTGTTTTTATGTGTTAAATAAGATTTTCATCAATAACGAATGGCATACGTCTGTGAGTGGGAAGAAGTTTGCGACGTACAATCCAGCAACAGGAGCAAAAATATGCGACATCGAAGAAGCCGATCAGGTATGTGAATTTGTCTTAACGATGGTTAAAGATTTTAATATTTCTTTTAAAATTTGTTTTTTTAAAGTAGTATTAGTGTAGAAATCATGATAGTACAGGCACGCTTCTACTTCATAAGTCTATAAATCACACCTGTCTGCTAATACAGAGTACGGTATATGTAAGATTTCGGTTACTGAGTTAATTACTTAGAATTGTAATTTTTTAATGTTATTTTAAGTTTAAGGATTCATGTTTCTCAATGTTAAAATGCATATTGTGTTAGGAAAGAAACTAATCTGCAATTAAATATTATGTTCAAGAAATGGCCATTGCAATAAAAATAATATAGTAATGAAAACCTGTCAAATTTGTTCTTAAACAGGACAGGTAATGCAGAAAATAACATAATGCATAATAATGTATTTTCTTCCTACAGATACAAAACTTGAGAGGAAAATAAATTGTATTAATAATTATCTGTTACTGCTGCTGATCATTATTCCTCTTACACACATATTTGTGCTTTAAGTTTTTGTGTTGTTATATTATCACTGTTTTTTTAGATTTTACTGTAGTGACAAAGTTTGTAAATAACATCTCAAGAAGATACCTCGCTGTAAATTCTTGAAATTAATATGACAAACATCATCCTGATCAACATTAAGTAAGTTCTCTGCTATGAAGCAAAATATAATAGTTTTAAATAGTATAGCTGCAAAATATTTTATAAATAGAACAGAAACCATAAGATTATTTTATTCAATTTATGTAAAGTGATTAACACCAATGTCCAGAATTTATTATGTGCAAAAAAAGAGATTGGAACAAAACACAAAACTAACAGGATTTAGATTTTGGCACAAAAAGTAATTTAGCATGGAAGCATGGCATTTTTAACATTTTTGTTTTATCATGAATGGGGTTTATCATTAAAAATGCCAGATTTTTTTCTCTTCTGAATATGTAAAATAGACCTTTTCCAAATATACACATATCCAAATAATCTTGCAACACAGCAGTTTAATTCCCCTTAGAATATCCATAGTATTTAAAACAAGCTTTACATACAGTACTATTGACTTAAAGAGACAGTACCTGTCTTAGCGCTGTCCACTGTAACATGTCTTCCACAGGCGGACGTTGATAAAGCAGTGGATGCAGCAAGAGCAGCATGGCAGAGGGGCTCTCCATGGAGAAAGATGGATGTCTCAAGTCGAGGGTGTCTTTTAAACAAACTGGCAGATCTCATTGAAAGGGAACGAATGGTGTTTGCTGTAAGTTCCTCTTATTGTTATGTTTTTTAAAATTTCTCCCAGTCTTTCTTTCTTTGTTAAAGTGTTATGCTTTTTAGCTTTAACATGGGTTGTGTTCATACCTGCAGTTAACATTGTTCAGTTTGTAATAAGCACATTAAAAATAGCACACATCAAGAAGGACAGAAGTGATTCTTCTGAAGGTACTCCATCTATACTTATTAACTCCTAGGTTTTGCTTTTCTGTCAGAATTTTCTGGTAGACTTTTTCTGGTAGTTTTTGTAAAGCATGGCACTGCAATTTGCATTCCTTCTTTATTGAACTCTTTATTGTTCTTCCAAGAGGTATTTGCATAATGTCTTGCATAAAATAACTACTCTGTTACCTGTTAGGACCTCACTGTATGTTTTGTTCTTACACATATCTAAATATAACACATCTTGTAGTGTCACCCAAATGTCCTTTTATACGATAAAACCTAAAAGTATATTTTTAATAATCAAAACAAAGGAAAACATCATAAACCATGAAGTAATAATAATTATAATAAACTTTATTTTATATAGCACCTTTAAAGGTGGCTTCTCAAAGCGCTTTACAGAATGACAACAACAATAAATAAAAAGAATACACAAGATAAAACACAATTACAATATATAGATGAGACCGTGGATGGTGGTACTAAGAAAAGCAGAGGGGTGAAGAATGGAACCAGTTAAGTAAAGGCTTTTCTAAAGAAGAGGGTTTTGAGTCTGGATTCTAAGGTGTTTAGAGAAGGTGACTCTCTGATATCCTTGGGGAGAGAGTTCCAGAGCTTGGGGGCATAAAAGGAGAAGGCCCTGTCACCCTTACAATGTAGATGGGCTTGGGGGACAGTAAGGAGAGCAGAATTGGAAGAGCGAAGGTTGCGAGGTGGGGAGTAGGGTGATAATAGTTCAGACAGGTATTGAGGTGCCAAGCCATGCAGAGCCTAAAAGGTGAGCATGAGGATTTTAAAGTCTACATAGAATTTGATCGGAAACCAGTGCAAGGACTCCAGGATAGGAGTAATGTGATCATTTGCACTAGACCTGGTCAGGATTCTTGCTGCTGAATTTTGGACATACTGCAGTTTGTTCATAGTAGATTTAGATACCCCAGCAAGTAGAGCATTACAGTAATCAATTCGAGAGAACACAAATGTGTTGATCAGCTTTTCAGCCACAGTTAGTGATAGCATAGGGCGTAGTCTAGTGATATTTCTGAGATGGAAGTGTTTATTTGAGTCCTTGTCAAACCAGGTAATTGGTCATTAAACTAAAATTTACATGGCAGTATAGAGTGCCTGGCTCACTTTTCACATTTTGTTGTTTTTAACATTGCGGACATTTCATATTAGTGTATATACACAACATGCTCCACACATTCAAAGAAAAAGCATAGAGAAGTAAACAGTTAAACTGAATGAAAAATGGAAAACCCATGATTACATAAGTATTCCAACACATTTCTGTAACTAGCCTAATTTAATTCAGGTCCATTAAATTATTTTAACAAGCCACATAATTAGTTGAGTGACCTCCTCCATGTGTGTCATAATGGTCAATCACATTATTTTACAATATATACACATAGGTCATCTATGAAAAGCCCCTTAGTCAGGTAGTGAATTTCAACCAAAGAATTTTATTAAAAATCCATGGAAGGACTTGAAAACCATTCAACCATAAAGGTCATGGAGCTCTCAGAACAACCAAGGGATAAAATTGTATATATACAATTTAAAACACAGTTCAGGAGAAGGATTTAAAGAAAGATGCTTAATATGGTAAAGACGACCATTAAGAAGTAAAAGACACTTCGAAACACTGCCTAGATCAGACTGTCCCCTCAAACTGTCCTATAAAAGTAGACAACAGGTAAGGGATGTATATAGTAAAGAATTGTATCTTTGTACTTATTTTGCCAAAATATAATGTTGACATTGCTTTAATGCAGTTTTATGTAAATTCTAATTGCAAAGTATCTTTTATTTTTCTTTGATTAATTTGGTGAGTTGTGTATAACAATAAAGATAATTAAAGGATTATCATTCTGGTTTTCAAATGTATAAAACCTGTTAGAATAGCATTAATGGCTAGTGCATTAAAGTGTTTTAGATTGACAATAATATATATATATACAGTATATATAATGATATTGTTCTGTTAGGTGTTTGATTGTAGTGACTTTTAATTTGTATTTTTAAAGACAAGTTGGTCTCTATACTGAGTTTGTATAATTACTCAGTATCTCTTTAAAAATATATATTTTTCATTTTAGTATTGCATATCTCAGTAAAAATTCACTTACTCTAAAAATATTTAACCTTGTATTAAAATTATGTTCTTATTAAATGCAAATTACTTTCAGATGGTTGTTTTTAAAGCACTATATAAAATAGAGTATTATTGTTAATCCCTGGTTTAACAGACTTTGCCTTACTGGACTACGGATTTAATGGACAGATTCTGTTAAAGGGTAATTTTCTCTTATAAAATCAGAAAAATCAGACCTTCCCTATAATTAGGAGAAATACACAAATAATAAATCATGGTAAAAATAAATATTTTACGGGTTTAAAATTCAGAATTATCAGTGGATCCCTATAAGGGGTATGTAATTTTAATAACTATTTAATAATTATTTATGATGGTTGTATTATGTTTTCTGTGCTTTAACAACTTTTATATATTATATTTATGATATTACAGAAAAATCTTGTGTATTTCTTATCAAAATGGCACAGGAAAAAAATATTGACTGTGCTGATTGTTAAAATCACTCTATATCACTCATATTAATTGTTAAAAAATAAGTAAAAAGATTCAAATATATATAAATATATATCATCATGATTTATTAGACATTTGGCAATAAAGCACACTCCTTTACCCCATTGTAAATTAAACTGAGAGATTACTGTATTAAAATAACTGTTTAGCTGGTGAATTCTAAAAGCATGTATCTGAATTAAAAGTAGAAAATATATAAGATACAGTAGATATATTTACTGTACTTTTTCTTAAGTACTTTGCTGTACTGAACTACTGAATAAATAGACTGACATATTAAGGTAAAAAACAGAAACTTGTTTGGCTTAAGTCTTAAACATACATGATATGAAGAATAAGTAAGTATACAGTATGTACAGTGTATCAGTCTGCAAGAGTGAGTCAGAGACTTTACTGCTAATTTACAAAAGTGAGCTGTTCCTCAATTGCAATAGCTAGTTTTCCATTTCTGGGCACACGTTCAAAAGGCTGTTTTCTGCTGCCCTGCTGTCAGGGTATAGCTGCTGCTGATTCTGCTCAGGCTTCTGGATGCTTCAGGAATGTTCTTCCTCAGTTTTTATTTTAATTATTGTTATTGTTTAATTATTATTGTCTGGTGTGGTGGCCATGGTTGTTGTCTCACAGTTCTTGGGACCTAGATTGTATTGCTGCCAGGTGTGTGCTATCTTTGTGGAGTTTATACTGTATGTTCTCCCTGTGGAAACATGGTTTTCACTAGGTTCTCCAATTTCTGCCTACAGTCCAAAGACATACTGTTTAGGTTAATTGTCTGTTAATTGTCCACCATATATACTGTAAGTGCATGTGTTGATGTGGTCTAATAAAGACTGGCATCATTCTGGAGTTTTGAGCTCCAATTCCTCTTCATGTTTTCACATTCACAACAGCGCCAATTATACTGAACCCACATTTTTTCACAGGCCAAATGAATGGTATCTTTTATTTTTTAAGAATTTAGAGTATTCTTATTATTCAGAGTTCTTATTATATGTATTTTTAAATTAATGCAGACCTTGGAGACAATGGACACTGGAAAACCCTTCCTGCAATCGTTCTTCATTGACCTTGATGGCTGCATTAAAACTCTGAGATATTATGCTGGCTGGGCTGATAAGATACACGGCAAGACAATGGCAGTGGGTAGGTCTGTAATACTAGAAATGAATATAAAGACCGTATTCAGAATACAGAGAGTTGTGCTGTCTGTTATAGGTGCATAGGTAGATTGGAGATCATCTGAAGAAGTTAACCAACTTCTTTTTTATCTTATGAACTTCTGATCATATGATAACCTCACCTGAAATTTTTATTTAGAGGCCATATTTTGTGATGAGTTAATATATGGATAAGAAAATTAGGTGAACTGATAAGAAAAACTTACGTTATTATAGAAAGTACTTTTTCACAATTTTGAGCTGATTAATTGTTAGTTTCAAAAATTGATCCTGAATTCCATACTTATTGTAACTTTTAATCACTCTAGATTACTTATAGAAATGGGAAAATACATGTAAACAATAGTTATTGTGTATAGGTGTCAAAGTGTGTAATCACAGAGAAACAATCACTTTAGGAAGTATATGAAATATTGGATTTTATTTATTATAACATATGCAATAGACAGGTTTTGGGGTCCAGGTAGAAAAGACAATGCAAAATAAATAATCTAATCTAAAAATCTAATAAATCAATCAAGATGCAACAAACAGTTTCTATATACTAGGTGCAATCTTTCTCAACATTTAATTGTTCTTAATAAAATGCTGCATTTCTCAAATACTTAATGTATGATATATTAGTGGTGTACAAATATGACAACAATTTGAATAGGAAAATAGTGGTACAATAATCTAAGTGATTTAGGGACAAAACTAAGTTACAAAACGTAAATTGAAAGAACTGTGAAAAAAGGATCATTATGATTTTATTTTTTGTGCTCAATTATTAGATCTCATATCTTAAATTGTGTGCATAAGGAGAGAATGTGTTTTGATGGAGGAAGAGAACTGTGTTTTCTGTTGCATCTTAAGGAGAAACAGCAAGTCACAAGCTGGTTTGTGGAATTTGCCTTCTCCAGGCTTCAGCCATTTTTAGATTTCCAATTCATTGAAACAGTGAGTTTACAGAGTACTAAAATATGCCGAGATGTTAATTACAAAAAACAAAATTATTACATTAGTATGTGTTTTACTAGTGTGCTTTATCACTTTATCCCAGGATATAATTAAGATATTTAAAATTAAATTAGACTTCAGATCACCATAAAGTACCTTGAATCACTTCCAGGTGAATTCTGCATAGAGAAAGAGAAAGTAATGTTTTTCTGTTTTTTTTCTGACAGATGACAACTTTGTGTGCTTCACTAAACATGAACCCATAGGTGTGTGTGGTGCAATCATACCAGTAAGTATAAGTAAAAGATATCCTTTCTCTGAAGTTGAAGTTGATCAGTGTAGTGGCATATGCCATGACTGTGGATGTAACATGCTTCAGATGAGGTTCTGAGGAAATTAATTTGCTGCATATCACTAGGAACAGGGTGCTTGTGTTTTAGGAACATACAGTAGGTAGTTTCAGGTCAGAATGTAAAGCTCAACACATTGGGATGTGGGCTTATTCAGAAGCCACTGGAACTTTATTCCAATTTATAAATATGCTGTGAATTCAGTGTAAAATCTTGCATTATATATGCATTTTATTAATTGCCAGTGTGTACAAAAATGCAAGTGCCAATATATGGTAGATCACAATACTAACTTGTTGAAAAACATTTGATACAGTGACTATGATCTCACTGTTAACATCTCTTCCTTTTTCCCTTTGTATGAACAATAGGCAGAGTCTGTGAATTCATTGATCATTGTTCTTTACTTCATTTATTGGCCGCTCTCTGATAAGAGTGATGTTATCTAAAAGCACACTGTGGCATAGGTGTAAAGCAAGCACAGGGGAGTCAAGGTCAGGTGTTTCCTTGTACTGCAGATTAACACTGCAGTGTAACAGAATCTTTGGTTTATTAACTGTAGAAGATGGCAGACACTTGACAGGAACATCAAACATACCAGAGGTGGTTTACAAAATGCATAGGCTGAAAAAGCCTACATGCAAAGGAATACTTGTACTGACATAAAGACTTAAGAAGGGGAAACACAGTAAGCTCTTGTGAAGTATTTTATATTGAAAATGAAAATTGACAATGATAAATAGATACTTTATTGATCCTGTGAAGGAAATTGCAGTGCAACAGCAGCTTAACACAGACAACACAGCAACAGTGTAATGAACGATACAATAATAATAATACAATACATACAATACAATCAGCACAGTGAGAAGTGCACTAAGAAGAGTTACTCACAGTCCAGAACACACAAAGAACAAACCAGAACAGAACAGTACACAAAAAAATTGTATTGCACAATATAAATATAAATGTATTGCACAAGTCCCTGGCATATTTTTTTCCACAAAAACGGTTGTAAACGGGAAAAAGAAAAGGAACAGATGTAGCAGTTTTCTGTTCAGTCCAGAAACAGGTCACTGTCAATGTTGTCTCTGCCCAGACACAAAGTGGATGCGTTGTATAGTCTTATGGCAGAAGGCAAGAATGACCTCCTGTAGTACTCCCTGTTGCACCGTGGATGGATCAGTCTATTGCCGAAAGTGCTCTTCATTTCCACTAGCATGTCATAGAGGGGATGAGAGACATTGTCCATGATGGCCTCTAGTTTGGACACCATTCTCCTCTCAGCCTCTACCTCCAGGGGGTCCAGGCCAGACCCAATGACAGAGCTTGCTCTTCTGATGAGCTTGTTTGGCCTGTTAGAATCCACTGCTTTAATCCTAGAGCCCCAGCATACCACCACGTAGAAAATGGCGCTATAACAATGAGTTCCTTTTAAAAATAATAGTCAGCAATATAGCAGTCACTCCACAAAACATTTCCATTTGGCAAAATCAGTCTGGCAAATCATTACAAGCCTTTAATTGACTACAGATTTTTTCAAAGGTTTTTGTGCTCAGATGGGACCAAATGGAAACATTTTGGTCTATGATATTGTGTTTGGTTAGATTCAACACTGTACATCTCTCAGGCAACACTATCCCTACAGTTGGTATTGGCAGCATCGTGCTTTGGGGACTTCTCCTCAGCAGGGACTGGAAAGCTTCTTAGGATTCAAGTAAAATGGACAGAGCAAAGTACATGCAGAAACTAGGGGGACGCCTATTTTAATCTGCTAAAGACTTAAAATTGGGGTGAAAATTAAACTTTCATCATAATAATACACAATGGCCAAAGCTACACTAGAGTAGTTTAAGAATAAAAAATTAATGTCCTGGACTAGCCTAATTAATGTCCTGATCTGAATCCTACTGATAATTGGGGAAAAGATCCCCAAGCAGCATGAGACAGCTTAAGCCAATCTGCCAAGGAAAATAGGCAAAAATTACACCAAGCTGGTTGGTCCACCAAGTTGGTAGAGACTTATTCAAAAGACTGGCTCATATAAATACTGTTAAAGTGGCTTCCATCAAAAATTGTTTTCACATGACTAAGTACTTATTTAATTGACATATTTCAGTTTTTCCATCCCTGCTATTGTTCGTATTGCAGTAATATATATATATATGTTTTCCATGCAGTGGAATTTCCCTTTATTAATGTTCATCTGGAAGATTGCACCAGCTCTTTGCTGCGGGAACACTGTGGTCATCAAGCCTGCAGAGCAAACTCCGCTCACAGCTCTCCACATGGGTGCATTGGTGAAAGAAGTGAGTCTACTTTATTGTATTAAGCTCAACAGCATTAAGCATTTAACTGTTTATTTTGAGGTATGACTTGGATAGGTTTTTGTTGGAGTGTATTATAGTCAAAGCCAAGAGCCAGGAAAAGCTAACATAATCCTATGTCTTTATGACAGAGGTAGGTTTATCATTAATATTTCTTATAACTTATAACTGCATTAAAAAGTATTTTTAATTTTTCTACAGTATATGACCCGTCAATAAATTTGATTTATTAACTGATTAGTTTTTTTAATCACACATAATGACTACAAAAACCATTACTCAGTTTTAATGATTCACATTTTGTTTTTCTACCAAACAGGCTGGTTTCCCCCCTGGAGTCGTGAATATATTACCAGGATTTGGGCCAACAGCTGGTGCAGCCATATCTAACCATATGGATATCGACAAAGTGGCATTCACTGGATCTACAGAAGTAGGTACATTTTAACAGATAGTATAACAGGCTATTCAAAATATCTATGTTTTAATCTCCCAGCTGTGTTTAGGGCATTAGGGCATATTTTAAGTAAATCTCTCTTGCAGAGTGGTTTTATCTCTTGAATAATTGTAATCAGGTGCACGTTTGAATTTGTTTCAGATTTTATTCTTTAATTACTGACAAAATAAAACATATTATGCAATGATGCCTTTGAAAGTCATGTGGTCACAGAACATTATTTTGTGATTTCTTTAGTGTTGTTTTTAGTATGGGAAGAACTGGAAATAACTGCCTTCATTTCAGGTTGGAAAACTAATCAAAGGAGCAGCTGCTAGAAGTAATTTAAAAAGAGTGACCCTGGAATTAGGAGGGAAAAATCCATGCATTGTCTACGCTGATGCTGATTGTAAGAAATATTCATTTTCCTTTCATTTGAAAGATTTGATTCCAATTTTAGATAAGAAATATACTATAACATTTTTAAACTGATAAAAACATGGTGATTTTTAAAACCAATTTCTTGCATAAAATAAAATAAAAACTGTTACCAGAGTAGGCAGATTCAAATTTCATTGATCTGTCTCAGATTATTAACATCCACAAAATATAACAGCTACCAACTTCATGATGATAAATCCACTGAACTCTGCAATCAGTTGCAAGTCATTGTATGAGACCAAGTTGATAATGTACTGGTTCCCCTGCAGTGCAGTTGGCTGTGCAGGAGTCCCAACAGGGTGCATTCTTTAACCAGGGCCAATGTTGCACTGCTGCATCACGAGTCTTTGTTGAAGAGAAGATCTACGAAGAGTTCATCCGTTGTAGCGTAGACAATGCCAAGAAACTTGTTGTTGGGGACCCATTTGATCCTAGAACGTCACATGGACCACAGGTAATTTTGAACATGCAGGCTAAAGGTGGTGGATGTTCTTAGAGAATTTTAAAGACCCCATATCATGTTTGAATGTTTCTTATAGGTAAAATCCCGATACCCATCTCTTGAAAAATGTGGTATGATATTGTGGAGAAACTGTAATTCAGAAACAATATCTTTAAATTATGCAATAAGACAACAGATATAGTAACATATTCACATCTTTCTAAATGCTTTATTCCTCAAAGGATAACTGAATACTTGGAAACTTTTTCTCAGCATTGTAAAAAAAGGAGAAGAAGAATCAAATTCTGTTTGCAAGATAAGTCTACATAATAAATATATTTAGGTCCTGGGTTTGATTGTGGGCAAGCTCTCTTTTGTGTGGAGCATACTCTTCCGGTGTTTTTTCTAGGTAGTTTGGTTTTCTCCCTCCTCCCAAAAACATGATAGTAGGTAATTGCATCTCTGAATTGTCCATTCTATGAGGAGAGGATCTGGACTAGTGTAGCTGATTTATTCTAATTGTCTAGAATTACTTATATGAATTTGAGTTTCTGGGATACAATTCTGAAATATCATTGATTCTTATTTGCCTTGTCTAGGGAACCTACAGATGCATAGATATATTTTTCTCAATTCCTTTTTTACATCTTTGGATTCATTGGATCCCACACAAACACATTAAATATATGTGGCTCCTCGAAAGTTTCTTCTGTGGTTGTGGTCAAATATGATGTTCGGGTGCATACAAGCAGGAGTTTAATCAATAAGCGCCAGGCAGCCAGAAACAGGGAGGGAAGGATTTAGCCCTTATATTTTAGCATATTATTACTGTAACTTTGTTTATAGTTTTTAACAATAACAATTTTAACTAATCATAAAAAATAGGCAAAACTCTCTTCCAGTCTGTTAAAATAATTTCCCTTTTTAGTTTTATTTTAAAGTAGAAAAAACAAGGATTTCAAAAATGTTTTTGTTTTCATTTGGATATTATGAGGCTTTTCAATATATTATCTAAATTAAATTATCTTATTCCAAGAAGAAGGGAAACTAACACCAGCAACAGTGCTATTACAATAAAAAATCTTTAGTTATTGCAAACATTTAAAAACATTTAAATATTATAATTTCTTAGAAATTTAAATTTTATATTCAAATATTATGTGCATAGTTATGGAAACCATGGTGCTATACCCAAGATAACATGCTAAGTCAGTGCTTTAGCATTCAGTGCTTTGAAAAAAGTAGTGTCCTGCTAAACAACATGTAGTGAATCTATTTTGTATTAAACTCATCTCTGCACAGAGGCAAGATGTAATTCACAGGAAAATTATTAGGCACAAGTACATTCTTAAGACTAAGGCAGATGAACCTTTTTTTAAGTGGAGTACACAAGATCGGTTTATTTATTATTCATAGAGTACCTTGAAAAACCTTGCAATGTTTCCAAATTACAATTTTTAAGTTTAAATAGGTTTGTCCCCACATGTTTCCTAAATCAAACTTTGAATTTCAGTTTTGTGTCTCCTTGAAGATGGAAATGAAAGAGAATTATACTGAATTATCTTCAACATTAGGCTAACATTCCCCCAACTTATGCCAAGTTCTTATTAATTTGTTTCAAAAGTATTATATGTATTATGCAACAATGAAAGCATAACATTTCCTTAGATTTTCCTTATCTTTCTGCATTCCAATAAAGAGTTGCCTTTGTTGGAATATTGGTTTGTTAATTTTCTTTCTAGGACAACCTATACCATTAGTATTACATTATGCTCAGTTCTGTTTTACTTTCTTGCTCAATTGGTAGAAAATGTATTTTTTTCCTCTTTATGTTTATCACAGATTGACCAGAAACAGTTTGATAAAATTATGGAGCTGATAGAGAGTGGGAAGCGAGAAGGTGCTAAGTTGGAGTATGGAGGCTATGCCATTGGAGACAGAGGCCTTTACATTCAGCCTACAATATTTTCAGGAGTTAAAGACCACATGCGCATTGCCAAAGAGGAGGTACTGTATGTTGTTTGTTACAAGTGTGTCATGAAACATTTATGAAGTATTTTAGGAAATTAAGTTATCTGATAATTGTAAAAAGCATGCGTTACATCCATAGGACTGGTAAAATAACCAAAGCGTCTATCTTCTTACATCAGATACAGAGATCATGTTATCTCTCCTTTTTAGTAGTTTGCTAAAACCCTAATTAAGGAAGCAAAGAGGTGATTGGAACTGTGTGCTTTACAGGGGAAACCTTGCTGACCCTTTTAAAGGACAGTGGCTAGAACTCCTATTTTTAGTGACGATACAGCAAATAGGAGCTGCTGCAAGGGCACAGATGGGGTGGAGGAAGGGAATTGACAACAAAAAGTGCAAGACAGTGTTGTAACAGAACGAATAAGGTTCTTGATCCCGAGATGAAGTAAAACAGATGTGTTTATTGCATGCAAGGAACAATAAAGCCGAAGTCTTGTTTCCCGCAAGAAACAACAAAACCGAAGTATTGTTCACCGTACTGGTACAAACTTTTGGGTTATATAGTGTTTTCTTCTCCGTTTCTAACGTCACTCGGTCTGATGGTAAAGAGGGGGGTTCATGGTATTTGGCCAGTTTACGATGTTCTGGACAAATGGTCAGTTTAAGATTACACCCAGGGGGGTTCCTAGCTTGCATCTGCAATCCTTATCAGTTAACCCCCTTTCCTGCCATAAACCCCAGCTTGTGACTTAGAAGTCTAAACCCCCTACAGAAAGGATTAAATTCAAACCCCCGTCTTCACATCTTTCTTCATTCCCCCCTTATAAAATATGGCATACGTCAGTGTAGCCTATTTTTATACATACAATGTCAGGGCAGATCTTTCCTTTCTTGGCGAACAGGTATGTATTGCGATGACATTGTACGTTCCACGGTTATAGCAAGATGTGATACATGTTTTTGTGCACGTGATGATTACAATTATACATATAAACAATACTATTCCTACAAATAAACACTGTAAAAAGGTTCCACCCCAGGCCCCAAACACAGACTTTACCCAAGACCCAATTCCCCAATTTTCAGCATAATAGTCCTGATATTTCTGTCCTCATTGTAAATGTGTTGGGCCAGATCTGAGATGTGCTCAGAATTATCAGGAATATATGTGCAGCATTCAGTGCCAATTACTGCACAAGTTCCTCCTTGGGCCGCCAGTACATAATCTAAAGCTAGTTGGTTCTGCTTGGCCACTGTTCTGTAGCAAGGGCTACCATCTCATCATTAACAGCCTTCAGACTAGATGAGGTAGAATTTGCTAATTCCTCTAAAGTCGAGGCCATTTGAATTAACTCTCGACTCAGAAAGTTCATGCCGGCTTGTGGAAATATTATACTTAAATAATATTCCTAATCAGCCAGTTTTTCTTTGTGGTCTGTGGTTAGGTCCGAAGGGGCTGTGGGTTTGAACACGGATATGAGGAACCACATATCCTAAATAACATGAGCCAGACCACTGGGCTGGCAACCATGGGTAGGCTCGTTTTCCACAAATGAAGTATGTTCCGTTTGGCGCTCCCCATGCCTCTGAAATAAGAAGCTTATACCGAATTGTGGGGTGTGCCGATCCCATCCTGGAATTTGGAAGGTAGAGGTGGATATATTTGCGATGGTAAGGTTGCAACGACTCCATCCAACCAAGTGCAGACCATTAGTGTGCTGAAAACATATGTTTCCCTCATGTTCCTTATTTAGAGTCAGGTATGGTGGTGTATGGCTTCTGTTATATTTAGGAGCATAAGAGCCTGTGGGCTCTAAGCCTCGCTCCTGTAGATATTGTAATGTTGTGCAGGTTAAAGTCGTGTTATGGCAACCCCCATAGTTTGTCATTTTAAAATCTCCTAAATTATCCCTCCAAATGATCATGCCTATGACTTCCTCGAGACGCCAAGGAATGGCCCCCATAGGAAGTCCTCCCTGTACATATTTGGGT